GGGGGAGTTAGAGAAGCATGAAAAAACAATGTATGTCGTCCCTATATTATGCTTTTGCAACTGATGCTTACAAAGTCTTTCATGGACCATGATTCATAGCAAAATTTAGAACAAGAAAAGCTTAATGCTTGGCCAAGTTTTAGATTTTGAGCCCGCTTGGATTTGTTGATTGTAAATAGCTGATACGCTTGAGGTGTTAGAAAAATATTTTTAAGTGTTGAAACTGATTTTTTAAATAAGCACTTACGTGTATGGATAGACGTGCTGAAACTGATAATAAACAGTTGATATGTTTGGTAGAAAATCGTTGATTAGCTGTTATTTTGGTAAAATGACTAAAATACTCTTAAAAACTTTACAAATGATTATAAATTAAAAAGTTTTTTTGTAAAGAAAAGGATAAACAACGAAAGAGAGTTAGAAAATTTATTTTGGGAAAATATTTTGTGAATTAAAAAATATTATTAAAGATAAACTAGTAAAAGCCCTGGCCAAACTAAAAGTGCTTATAAGCTGAAAAACCACAAGTTGGGGGTGACCAACTTATGACTTATTTTAGCTTATAAGCACTTTGTATGTTTACCAAACGTGTAGATAAGCCAAAAGGTGCTTATAAGTCAATTTGACCAGCTTATAAGCCAGTTTGACCAACTTATAAGTTTAGCGAAAGACCCTCCTTGTAAGGGAAACTTTTCAAATTATCAAGCATCTAGTACTGTTACTCAAGACTTTTCTACTCATAGTTAGTTAACCACATTCCAAGCTCAAATTCAAGGATATGTTATATGTATATCCTTCTTCCTTCCGGCAGCAAAAGAAAGACATATCACTTTTACCAAGCTGAGGTTTACATTCATATATTTCAGAACTTGAAGGGCTTACAACACAAAAATTATAAGTGATTTAGACAATAAAAGTGAAAAGCAATTTGTCATATGCGGACATTGAATTCCAGCAGCAACAAAACTGGGAAGAAGTAATCCTAAAAGTTGAGAAAAAACAGTAAGGATTTTTAAAACTCCATAAGAGTTAAGAATGTAACCGTTTTTTAATTTTTAATTTTTTTGTTTACTTTCGAAACTTCTAACAAATTGAAAAGCCAGACCATTCATTGTTTCTAGACACATGAATTAATGATAGTGTAACAATTATAACAATCTTATGAAATTCCGCCAGATATGGATCCACCTTTTTTGCAGTTGGTGTAAATGTACCCATTGCTTTCGACTAGAACTACCTAAATTTTTTAAAATATACATTTAAACTATGTCCAAATTCATTGTTAGCAACATGTAGTGAGTGCAGTTGTACTCTGCCCCAATTAATCTAAAATCTTGAAAGTGCCTTTGAACAGGCTGAAAGTGGGCTATTTACATATAGCCTGGCGATCAATGAAGTACGTGAAAATCAGGTTAGGCAGTTACATGACGATCAATCAGGTACATAATAAAATAGAAAATTTAGTTGTCAAAGTTAATTGGGAAACCAATGTTATAAAACCAAAGTATTAAGAAAACATAAAAGTGACAGGGTGATTTAATTCATACCTGGAGAGGCCAGTTAAACGATTCTGCTAACTTTTGGGCATACTTTTGAGAAGGGACATATGGGTCTGCTATGCAAACAACAGCAACTCCTTCACTTTTGAGATGATAAAGATTGATTAAATGTTCTCTTCCCATCATCCCAACACCAATTATTCCATACTTAACTATTGCTACCATTGCTGCAGAGTGTAACTCTGATTCTTGAAAATAAAAACAGAGAAAACAGAGCTCCACAAATCTCTCACAAATACTCTATAATGCAGTTACAAGTTGGTCACTTGCACCATATATATATATATNGGTATGCCATCTCATTGGATGCGGCCCTTCT